CAGCGGTGCACACGGAGCTCTGGCGATGGCAAAGAGCTTGGCAAGGAGTTGGCGAGGGTCTTGGCAGAGGAGAAGGCGGAGGACGAGGACAAGGATGAGGAGGAGGACGAGGAGGAGAAGGAGGAGGAGGATGAGGAGAAGGAGGAAGAGAAGGAGGACGAGGAGAAGCTAGCCGAGAACAACTCTGATAAAATCTAACAACCCTCACTGTCACCTGGCAGGTGGGGAAATATCTAAAAATTGGTTGGATGGTTTTGCATTTTGCATGGATCTCATGGCCAAACTCAAATTCAGCTACCAAGCCAAGATGAGTTGACGCTCCTTAGGCTCCTGCTTCTCATCATGATCTTTCGGTCAGTCACTTCTGTCTCACCTGGCCAGGTGCCACCCAGAAAGTACTTTGCGGGCTGTCCCCTCACCAAGTCAACTGTCACATGAAAAAGGCAGCGCATGGACAATGTTTGCAACCATGACGACTATTACATTTTTGTTTTTCCTCCTCATGATTGACTTATAGAAAGATCGGCTTCTAGATAGTGGTAGATCGATAGACAATGGTCGATGGACAGGCGCTGGGAAGATGCTCTATTTCTGTCAGTCAACAAGTAGATAGACAGATAGATAGATAGATAGATAGATTAGGTCCATGCCTTTGTCTGGGCCATTGACGGTTTTCAGGCGCTCGTGTTGCAAAAATCAACCTTTATGGAGCTCCTGTTGCGCTCGGTGAATCAAGCTGCTTCACTTCTGGGATTTTTTTGGAACCATCGCTTGGCGGATGTTTTTTTTCGAGCCCTCGGCATGAACCCCGGGTCCGTTACACATATGAGCTTTAAAAGCACACGGCGCTGCATTATATTCACCGTATAACCTAATTTTCTTTCTAGCTACCTCTCTCCCTCTCTCTCTCTCTCTCTCTATCTCTCTATCTCCTCTCAATTCTCTAGCTCTCTATCTATTTGTCTGTCTGCCTATCTTTCTATCTACCTATCTACCTATGGACATGCAGTGGTGCAGATCCCAGCACCATGGCAAATATACTACGCGACATTCAGAGATACATGTCTATTTCGTTGGCTGGTGGCTGGTAGAACGCCGCCAGCTTTCGTGTGTTTCTGTTTCGGTGGGGTGGGTGATAGCGTCATATTCACACTGCGAAGTAACACGCTTTTGTTGCTACGCTCTTCTTTTTTAAAGTGCAGCGTGGGTACGGTGGGGTGGGCTGGAGTGGGGAGGGGTCGGGTGGGTGATAACGTCATGCTCACACTGTGTCTAACACGCTTTTGCTGCTACGCTCTTCTTTTTGTCAAGTACAGCGTGGGTACGGTGGGGTGGGCTGGGGTGAAGTGGGTGATAACGTCATGTTCACACTGTGTCTAACACGCTTTTGCTGCTACGCTCTTCTTTTTTTGTCAAGTACAGCGTGGGTACGGTGGGGGGGCTGGGGTGGGGTGGTGATAACGTCATGTTCACACTGTGTCTAACACGCTTTTCCTGCTACAGCGTGGGTACGGTGGGGTGGGCTGGGGGGGTGGGGTGGGGTGGGGTGGGGTGGGGTGGGTGATAACGTCATGTTCACACTGCGTCCAACACGCTCTTGATGCTACCAGCTGCACTTCTTAATGTAACTTAGAACACGTCTCTTGCTACGCCCCGCACTTCTTCAAGTCACTTGTATCACGTCTCTTGATGCTATGTTCTGCACTTCTTCAAGCAACTTTAACATGTCTCTTGATGCTACGCTCTGCACTTCTTCCAGTAGCTTCCAACACCTCTCTTGATGCAACACTTTGCACTTCTTCATGTAACTTCTAACACGTCTCTTGATGCTACGCTCCGCACTTCTCAAGTAACTTCTAATGAAAGGGAATGTGGGATCCACTTTCCTTCGCAAAATGAAAGGGAATGTGGGACCCAAGCTGCGCCTCGAGATGGTTACATTGGTCAAACGATGGTTGCACAGAATCTGCCTTGCTCAGGTGCAGATGATGTCTATAGAAATTTGACTCAAGTCCTGCAACGCATGTGAAACAAGAGAAGTACAGTCTTACAAGAAGAAATTGAAAAACAAAGTAGTTTGTCGCACAGCAGCTTGAGAAAACACAAGGAAAATGAGCGGCGCTCTGTGATCCGCTTACCGTGTTTTCTATTTTGCTATTGACATGTTTTTTAAGCACATATACTTCGACATGTAAACTTGTGTGTTTACATCTATCTATTTCTATATCTTCCAGTGTAGCTACCTACACATATGTAAATATACATACACATACGTATCATACACGCATATGCAAAAAAGTGAATATATATATATACATACATACGTATCATACACGCATATGCAAAAAAGTCAATATATATATACACCTATATTATTCTATATTATATTTTATTATCGCTGTTTGTTTTCCACAGCTGTGTCCAGGAGAGGTCTGCACAGGAATCCTGTGTAGCATGGTTGCCCCATGCATGTGGTAGATTCTTGAGCTAGGAGACTCTAAGTTTTCATCCTGTAGGGTTAACCTTTTGGGTCATGTGTTTTGTGCGGAAGTTGTTTCGCAGAGGCCCTCCCGCCTGGGTCTGAAACAGGTCTGAAACAGGTCTGAAACAGGTCTGAAATGCCTTGCACCCATCCCGCACCTCCCAGACACCTCAAGTGGATTTTGCGCGGGTTTTCCGCGCAAATTTACTACCGAGCGTGCTTGGTTGTTTTGCACAAGTTCTGCATGAGCCGGTTCCACGTGTGAGAGCAAGGTGCGCGCTTGATTTGCTCGCTCAGGCTGGATACAGATTGTAGATAAAACCACAGGGTGCTGCTGCCGGGGTCAGGTTTGCAGGCGTTACTGCTTTTTTTGGATCTTCAAGGTCCATGCAACCCCGCCAAGACCATGCTGCCTTAGCTCTGCGAGCTGCTTCTTGCAAGTTGCCCGCAGATCTATTCCAGGTGAGTCCATCCACTTGTCTGTCCAGGTCTTCATTCTTCAGATACCCACCTACTCCGTCGTGTTTCAAGCTTTGCAGAATGAGACCTAGCTTGAACACACACAGACACATCTATAGTTCACACACACACAGAGTGTATATGTCGTGCCTTCACAATACCTCCCTTGCGCACACTCCGGCCCAGGCACCTGGGATGACGGAATCTCCACTTGGACCTGCCCTACGCAGGCAAAGATGGGTTTGCCTGTGCAGCAGTGACGCATGAGCTGTGTAAGAGTTGGCTTTGGGATTTGCGCTCCATGGTTTCCACAGTTTTCCATTGCATGCAAGCCGAATGGAAGGAACACACTAATCCATTGTGTGTGTGAGTTCTGGGATCAAAATCATGGCCGGGTGGAGGTGCCGCAATTGTGAAAATAGAACGCACAGACGGCCTCCGAACAATGTGTGCAATGGATGTCGGTCCAGCAAGAGAGGATGGCGTGGAAAAGTTAGGAAGACATTCAGCGCAGCTTCACCCATGAAATTGAAGAAATCAAGTGAAGGGGCAGATCAGGTGGCCGAAAGCCGCAGCAGCACTGGTGATAGCACTTTGGTGGCATGCGGCAGTGAGTGTGTCATTCCCAATCCGATGCAAGCTGGAAGTGATATTTCTACTTCTGTGCCTGTAACTTTACCTGTGTGTGCCCAGCGGCCGGAACCAGTTCTCAGTTCTCTAGACTTTGGGGGCTGGTCTCAACAACTTGAGAAGCTGGAGCCAGTAATCAAAGATGTCCTTGGCTACGAAATCGCGCACTCTGCCCTTTCCACTGCGCATGGGATTTTGAGCAAGTTCAAAGCCGCAAGGCGTCCAATCCAGCTTCCTGGCAACCTGCCCAGCATTTATGCGTTGGTCTCTGTTGCCTTGGCCGTGGGCGGGCGGCCTGAGGAGCCATCCCGATCCCTGTGGCGGCGGCATGTGAAACTGACGAGCAAAGAGTTGAAGCGGCGTGAGTGCCTGTGGATCATGGCATTGCCTTTCTCCGCTGAAATTGCAGACACTTGCAGCATCATGGACATGTGTGATGCGTGATGCGAAAGCAAAAACGGACATTCCATTGCCAATGCCTTGCGCTCAAAGGCATGCTCAGTTTTCGCCCTTTTGCCATCTATCAGGACCCATTTATAAAGAGGTTTGCCTGTAGGCCGCCACATTTGCATTTAGTGATTCCCGGTTTGTTTTTTGAACGGGACATCCTTTGTCTTATTTCTTGCAACATATCTCGTGGCACAATGCAGGGGACAGCCAGATTCAGGGGATGATGCGCAGATGACATGTGCACCTGTTGATTCTTCGCCGTCTTGCTGGGCCAGGCGTGGCCTTTTCCGTACGAGGGTTCGCTGGGCTGCTCAGCCGGCTGGCGCAGCTAAGGGATGCAATGGGTAGCTGATTTTTGAAAGGGCGTACCAGGGAGGAGCGCCTGGGCCTGATACGGATCTGAAATGGGCTTAAAATAGACATCCAGTCAGCCTGTCAGCTAATCCTAGAATCAGACAATGAGTATTGCAATTAGCAGGAGGACCATGCTTTGCAATGTCAAACTTGTCAAACTAGACGTATTTTGAAAAGATGTTTATTGTTTTGTTGGGCGTTGTTGTCGATGAAGAGATGTCAGTGCAGATCTTCTTGGATCTCACTATGGAAGTTGGCCAGTAGGCCACGGTCTCAGTGTTTGGGCATGGGCACAGTAAAGGTAGAAATGTTTGACATGCCCTTCGCATGCTATGAGCGAAGGTGGGTCAGGGTGGTTCTCTGGTGGCAGAACTTTGAAAGCAGGAGACATGTCATGGTGCGCCCAAGGCTTTGTGCAGATGCTACTCTTGGTCAACATGGCAGGTGTCCGCCGTGTCAGGCATGATTGCTGCATTTCTTTTTGATGTTCTGGAAATGTGTTGTCGTAAGGAGGCAGCAGCCGAAAGCCACAATTCACCACTTCCATGGAATGTCTTGGGCCGTTTGCGGCTTGCTACGGTTGCAGTTTAGAACTGGGGGTCATATTTTTGTGCCCTGTGGGCCAATGGTGGGCATCAACGCTTCTGCCTTGACTGTGCGGGATTGCTGGCTCACGGCCATTTTGGGTGGCCAAAAGTCCTTGGAAGTTCGGAAATACCCGACCAAGTTGAGGGGAATCATCGGTTTGATCAAAGCCGGCGATAGCCAGATTTATGGAACGGTGTCGATGCTCAGCCAAAAAACAGATAGAAGTGAAACCTCAAACAGACATTTGTGTCAATCTTTGATCACACCGCCAAAGAGCGAAGCATGATCTCAGGATAGTTTCTTGCCGGTGGTACACATTTGAAGAGCTTAAAGGCCTTGAGAAAGCCCACCGTATTCCCGAGGACGGGCTAGGGGGCACAGTTGGGTGGAACATGAATCTCTTTGATTCACGATGCTTCGTGTTCCTTGTCTAGCCTACCAGATGGGAGAATTCAGATACATACACATACATACATACAGATAGATGTAGATATAGATATAGATATAGATATAGATATAGATATATAGATATAGATATATACTTGTATTTATATATATATACACTTGTATTTATATATATATATAGATTTAAAGTAGAAAGATGATTTTCCCTTTTTGATAGCCTGCGCTTATCTGGCAGGAGTCGCTGCAGACATTTTGTGGGACCAGCGGCGCTTATGCTTGGGAACTCCAATGCCCGCGCCCCATTCCGGGCATTCGGATTGCCCGCAAGCCTGGATCGGCAGCTCAATTGATTTAATGCATGGATTGGCACTATATGCCATGCTACATGTTGGCCATTGAGCCATTTTTAACTTTTTCCGATCTCAGCCAGAGAACCGGCCATCAGGTGAATTGGGTGCGACTTGACAAGGGGGCAAAGAAGAAACTCGAAGATGCTACTTCGAAACAACACCGTCGCAGAGTCAAGGGCAAGCAAGGTGATGGGTGCTCGATGCTTACCCCTGCCAAACGTACCTTCAATGAAGATCCTTCCTCACAAGTTCCTGGTCCTGATCCCTTGCCACAAGTGGCAGACAGCCAAGCCTGTCCAGCTGAAAAGCTTGCTGTGGCTATTGCGTCGCGCCGCCAGATGCAGACTAGAAACCCCAGCGGCACTAGCGTTCCAAGCACGGAATGTCAGGAGTGTCATGTGCCGAAGAGCGGCCGACGCATGTGGTATGTTGATCGTGTGACAGGGAAAGTCATGGGCACCAGGTGCATTTCATGCAAAAGGCTTCGATGGTTGGCGAGGAAAGCGCAAAGACGATCTTCCGTGGTGTGCAGTGGCGTGGATGTTGACTGACTGAGCTGCGTGCAAGCAGCTGGGGGCAGAGCTTGATGCCTGTCAGCTTTTATCACTGGCCGGCATGTGGACTCTCAAGGGGTTGGAAAAGGCCACTGGCAAATCCACACCATAGTAATGCAACGTGGTCCATGCCAAACTTGTTTGTGAGAGGACCCAGTGGCTTTGAATTTTGTCAGGGGGTGAGTAGTTGTCATGCCATAGGTGGGGCAGCTGCGCGAGCCAGGAAAAATCTTGAAAAGCTTTCTGCCAGGTGAAACTTTGAAACGTAAGTTACAGCCTACAGGTTATGCAGAATCAGCGTGCTGCTGTGTGAGGCAGGCTCTTGCTGATGGCTCTGCCGGCCCTACCAATTGCCATTTTCTCAGCTTGGATGCCCAGCCGGAAAGTAGGTCTGAAATGGGTCTGAAACGGGCAGAAAACACCTTGCACCCACCCCGCACCTTGCTAGCCAGGTCGTTTTTTGATCGTCTAGTTATCAGCCTAGCCTGGTATAGGTGTAATAACAACCATCGCCCACCAGTGGGCCGAAGCATTGGAGAAGAGATTGGGCCCCTACAAGCGCAGTTTGCCTTCCCCATAGGATTCCACAGTTTTCCTTTCGGTTTTCAGGTTCATTTGGCCAAAGATTGACTCATTGCTCACTATCTCTTGCAATCGCTTCAAAGCAGAGGCACGGAATTGTGAGTGAGCATGCTTGAGACTTCTGAGTGCGGCGAGATGGCAGCCGACATTCAAGATGCTCTGTTCCACCCATCTATGGTGCAGGCCCACATGCAATAGCATTGTTGAGAGGTGCTTCAAGGCAGGAATGCTTGGGAATGTGTATCTAACCGGTGAATTGTTTGCAGGCATCATTCACTCTTGTCATTGCTTTACTTGTTGTTGCGACTCACTTGGCTAGGATCCAAGCTCCAGCCTGAAGAACATTAACTGACAAACTGGCGTGTTTGCTTGGAGCAGTCGACCATGCATGCTTCAGAACTTGCCAAGCTGATGGCTTCTATTGTAACAAGGAACATAGTCGCTGAGCATTTTATTTACTAGATTCGTTGACGCGTGTTGTTCGGGAGTATCAATTCATTTCCGAACTCGGATATGGTCCTGGATTTTTAGTAGTAGGTTCCAGGATTTTAAGAAACACCAAATAGCAAGCAGAGAAGGTTGCAAGGTATCCCAAAAGTTGGCAATATTTTCTTAAAATTTGCACCGGTTGGCAATTTTCTTGGAGGGCATACATCCGCAGAATAGTTACGGACGTGAAACCTTACCGACTGAAGTCTATCGGGCCCCCATAGTACGGACCCCACGAAGTCAGTATCCCAATATCGAATTTCAAAGTGTTTTGTGGGGCTGAATGCCACTTGGTGGGGTGCAAGTTTCATGTTTTGTGAAGCAATTCCTTGGTGCTTGGATCCTGGTCCGTGGATGGCAGGTCTTGGCCTTTTTTCCAGCCCTCTTTGGAGACGATGCCTTGGAAATTCTGGTTGGCTGTAGAAGCCCCATTCGAGTGTTGGTGCATCTCATGTGGTTTGAAGCAAAGTGAATTGGATTGAGGGTGTTGGCACTAGTGGCGGCCAGTGCCAATATAACACTTTTGCTGTCTCCTAAGGAATGGACCCTGCCAAATCAAGATGCTGAACATCTGGCAGGCCCTAAAATGAAACTTCCTCGGATCCATGTCAACAGCGTGTGGCATTCAGCATGGGGAGGGCGACCTCATTTTTGATAGATAGATGGTTGCGTATATAAAGCCTGTGACATCAGGATTCTTCCTGCAGTCTCGCCTTGCCAGCCCCCCAGCACAAACTTAGCGTGGAACGTTTTGGTTGCGAGTACAGCTTTTGGTCACGAACATGGCCGCAAATCATTCGCCAGGCCAGCTCTGCCTGCTTTCTGTGCTTGGAAGCTCAGCCAGATGGCGCATTTGCATCTTGTGTATTTTTTGTGCCTCGGTCTTGGCTCCCTGCTACACATGGCCACTTCATTGAGCCAACGCCATTCCTGGGCAGAGCAAGCATTTTGCATGTGCTTCATGGTTTGGGCATCTTTGAAGCATTTCAACCAACCAATTGGGTCACCCCTTCAATTCCCTGGATTCATCAAGCCGGCTCTGACGAGGTCAATTTTCTGTTTGCGTTTGGAAACCCAGCCCGGAAGCCCGAAAGCAGGTTTGAACAGAGTCAGGAACATTTTCATTTTGCAGTGAGAGTAAAGGCTTCTTTGGTGTTATCGGCGGCTGTCGTTGTGCTGGTCTCAAGTTCATTGTTCCCTGTTGAAGCCCATTCCTGGGCACAGCAATTTCACTTGGGGAAGGGGAAGCCAAGAAGTCAGTCCCATGCGTCTGTTCTGGTTTGAGGCATTGGGAAAATGTACTGTATTTTTTTTTATGTATGGGCTATTCCGCGCCAGACATTTGTGCTCTGAGTTGCAAATATAAATATAGATCTTGTGAAGCAATGGCTGCCCGGGACATCCGCTTAGCGCAAAGTGCGGCCCACATCATTGATGTCTTCCTCTTGTTGATGATTTGTCGCGTTGCTTACGCTGCTTGTAAACCCCAAATCTAGCATTTTCATTTTTTGTTTGCGAGCTTCTCCTCTTCATTTTATGGTTTGGGAGCTTCTTCCATTCACTTTACAGACGCGCACGCGCAGACACTGCGCACGCACGCGGACACACCGACACGCGGACCAAAAGTGCCCCAATGCATTTTCCAAAAATTCGATGGTCATAAGGGTAAGTTATCAATATGTTTTTCTATGTGTGGTTTTTCTTGATTCTACTGTAGGATTTGGGCGGTTACACGCGCTACGCTGACCTTCCCGCGGATTTCCACTCTGCGCTCGCGACTCCTTTGGGTTTATCGGCGGCCAATGGCCTTCAAGCGGTCCACCCGGATGAGACCGTGCAATCGGTTTTGGAAAGTATGAAGGTGTGTTTTTGGTGCCCTGGTGTGCAAAGGCAGTCAGTCACGCTTTGATGTTCGTTTAGTTTTTACGCTGATGGTCTGCAATGCCATGGGTTCAACTCAGTATATATGCGCAGGCCAACAGACGCAACGACAAAACTACAGCTCCAAGTGCTTGCCAAATGGCCCGGCATGCGTTTTTTAAACGCGTATTGTATGACCATTTATATCACCCAGAAGCTAGCGCGAGCTCTGCTGAGGACACTTAGGCAAAACTCACGCAACTTTTTTTTTTTGCATGTTAGCTCCGCGCGCGCTAAGTAAATAGCGTTTCTTTTTTTGACGCCCCAAGGAAGCGAGGTGCAGGAACTTCTTCGAACATGCTGCCAAGCTTGTTTCAGAATTATGTGTATAATATATATTTATATATATAATTATATATAGATATATATTTATAGTTATATATTTATTTTTTTTAATATATATGTTGTTTGTGGGTTGGGACTGGCTTCTTGAATAATGTTGAAAATATTCATTTTGTGGCAAAACTAACTCAGGCGCTCAAAACTACAGAAGGCAGTTGGACGAGACATCAAGAATTGTCACCGATTTTGCACCACATCGTTCAACCCTGGACGGCGACAATGTATGACAGTAAGGAAAACCATCTTGAAGGAGAAGCTCAACAAGTTAGAGTCGTTCATTGCGCTTCAACCTCAGCGACCAAGGCTGAAGACCTCAGAGGGAAAGTGGCGATCCAAAAAAGCGGTATGCGCTGATACTGGGTTATTTTGCAAGCTCCCTTTTTCAAAGTTTGGCATGGTTTCCGCTTTCCGCGTAATATTTTTTTCTCCGCGTAATTTTGTTCTGCGCGTATTTTCAGAAAATGGACCAAAATCAGGACATCGCGAAGCTCAAGGGCCTGGGTTGCCTTGGTGTGGCGAACTTTTGCCGTATTTGGCTCTCTCAGTCCGGGTACCCCACCCACTTGTCAGAACAATGGTGCAGCACGGGCCCAGGAACACGTGCGGGGATCAATCTGTTGAATAAATATCCAAGCGTTCCTCGTCCTAGATAGCGAAACTTTTTGAATTTCCAAGCGCGCTGGCAGAGGCATGGAGCATAGTAGTAGTGGCAGGCTTGCAGCGGCAGGGGCAGTGACTTGGTGACGGCAGGCGCTAAAGGTTGTTTCCTTTTCGCGCTATTTTTTCTTTTTTCGCGGTATGTTTTTTCTTTTTCGCGGCTTTTTTCCTTTTTTGCGGCGTAGGCAATGAATATGGAGACAGCAGACGCCCCGGTGCAAGATTTCTACTCAGAGCGGCTGGTGGAGTTGTCGAAGCTATTTCGGGATTCATCGGTTTTGAAGTCTAGCAAGGATGACTGTCCCCTGATGCTCTCTGCAAAAGATGCTGGACCAAAGCTTTGGTTTTGCGTATGCTCTTAAGTTCTGTTGTGCAAGAGGTGACTAGAAATGTGTTGGCAGCGTGTTTGTCAGGAAAACCTTCGTGACTTCCTGGCCTCTGTGGAGAACATCGCATTTCTTTTATGTGAACTACAGAAAGTAGTAAAATACATATTTTTGGGCTTGAAGATGTACACCCGGGGATTTATTTGGGACCGTGCCGCGGAGTAGGTGAGCCAAACTTTGAGAAACTTTGTGAAAAAAGGACGTATGTGAATCAGCTATATTCCATTGACAAGCAGCAGACAGCAAGATTCCATCTGAGATGCTGCAGTGTTTTGTTTTGTGCTTGAGGCTGAGAAATTTGCCCATGCGCGGATCCTCGGTGCTTAATTTCTGCTCGCTCCCAACCGGGTATGGCATGGCTATGGTTGTTCAGAAACAAACATAACAAACATAAAGGCGGTTTGCCAGCTGACAATTTGCCCTTCACGTCCAACCCTTGGCATTTTTTATGAAGTGGGCATAATGACAATTGCAAAAAACCAGCTTCAAACGCCCAAGGGCTGGCAGCTCTGAAAATGTAAATTGGCAAACGCCAATGGGCTGCCAGCTGTGAAATTAGTCTGCATTGTATCACATGCGGATGTGATCACGTGCATAGATGGAAATTGAAGGATGGAAAGGGCAGAAATTCGTGTTTTTTTTATCTAGGTCACAGAAGCCATTGTGAACTGCTCTCGAGAGGATTGTGCAAGCTACCTTGCTCACTAGGCCAGGTCGCAGGGACCGCCGTCGTGAGCCACTATCTTGCTATTCACCTCGCCAATTCCAAGATCCTGTTCATTACAACTTGTTGCATAGTAGTCTTGTAGTCTTAGGCAAGGATGTAGTCCATTCTTTAACAGAGGACAGAGGTCGCAGAGACCGGCTTGGTTGACCAGGTGGCAAATGCAGCAGCAGCTCAAGACAGAAATTAGAGGATTAACTTCGGTTTTCCTTTTACACATGTTTTTTTTTGGTTCAGTTTCCATGTCCCTTTTGCCAGGCAGTGCCACGCTTTAATGCTGGCATGCACCTCAGTCCGCAACGCTTCGCACAGATGTCCCATTGAAAGCCACCATGTCACCATGAGAGCCACCAATTTTGCAGAAGGCAGATGCGCTTGCTTGCTTCCAGGCTTTTGGGTTCAAGTTTCCGAGATTTTGGGGGTCAACAATGGCTCCGAAAAGCAGCCCTAAAAAGGCTGACAGTCGCGATGCTCCGCTGGAGTTGTGCCGTGAGGCTTGTGTAGCCTGCCTTGGCGCCGTGCAGACGCTCAAGGGTTGCAAGAGTTACCCAGCTGCAAACCTCAAGTGCAATGACAGAGGTGGAATCGCCACGTTTCCAGACAAGTGGCAGTGCAAAGCGAACATGGGAGAGCAGCACCACATTGGTACTGTGGCAGATGCCACTGGGCTAGATTTGATCATGGGATTTGCCGCAGTTGTGGTTGATTTGCCGCAGTTGTGGTTGTCGTGTTGTGGTCGTGGCTGTGGTGGTTCTGGTGGTGCTGGTTGTCGTGTTGTGGTTTTTGTGTTGTAGTTTTTGTGTTGTGGTTGTGGTGGTCATGGCGGTGGTGGTGCTGGTGGTGCTGGTGGTGTGCTGGTGGTTCTGGTTGATTCTTCGGTTGTCAGGTGCCGGTATCGCTATCATGGTCGTGTTTGTTCTGCTTGTGGCCAGTGTGGTTGTCTTGGTAACGGGCTTCGCGCCAGGTTGACTTCGGGCAACAACATGGTTCATCGAGCTTGAAGGAGTTGGAGCAATCTGTGACGTACTGGTGGAGTGGAGACAACATTGAGCTGCCAATGATTTCAGTGCTCTGTGCCGAGAAGGGGAAGAGGCGCGGGGAGACAGAAAAGAAATGAACCAAGGGCTATGTAGGACAGGGGTCCATTTACCTTGCATCACCTTGCAGGGGCCAGTTCACCATAGCCGACCACAATTATCTGCGGGTCGCAAGTTTTCTGGTGGCATGGAGCCGATCTGAGGGCGGCCGGTTTGATTCTTTTGCAGCAGCCGCCAAATCCGTGCACTTCAAGGTGATTCCCCACACCACCTCTGTTGAGTCCTTCTGGGTGTCTTACCAGCAGGGTGAGGATGTGATTCAGTCTGCTGCCGAACATGGGAACCATTTGGCATTGCGATTGGCAGAGCGCTTCTTTCAGTTTCTTTGGGCATTTTTGGCATTTTGGGCATTTTCTTGGTGCATTGGGCATTCAGCTATTTCAGTTTTCTTATTTTGGGCATTGCGATTGGCGGGGCTGGGCCGGGCATCCAAGGTTCAAGGGTCTCTTGGTGCAGCTTGGCAAGCCCACCACTTGCGAATCGATGTATGAAGAGCTCATGGCAGCGAAGAAGTCTGGTGCTGTTCGTTTTGCTAGCCAGACCTCGGCGGTGACGAATGCCGATCAGATCCGCAAGCTGTTGCGGCTCCTGGAGATGGCGCAAGCCGCTGGGGTGTACTCCCACCTCAAGGATATGCAGTTGGTGGGCGGCAACCGGACATGGGCAGCAAAGTGGACGATTGCAACCAGATTGCCTGGATTCTGTGATTCAGGTGATATCAAAGTGGTGCAGTTCGTTGTGGTGGCTATGTGGAGCCACCTTTTCCCTGTCATTTGGCTGCGAGTGTGAGCGTCAGAGTAGGTAAGTGCTTCATGGGCCAACACAATGTCACAATTGTTCTTGCTTTGAGGATTCCTCAGCGTGCAAAGAAGTCTCCCGGACCTTCCGACATGACATCGCCAACCTGAATGTGCAGGCATTGAAGGAAACCGTTGAATTCTTGCGTTTCGTGCTGGAACTGCTTGGTCACCTCGCTTCCTTCAAGCTCCCTGAAGATGACCCTCAACGAGACATGTTTGAGATTCAAACAAGATCACCTCACATACATGTCCTTTGCAGACCGAAAGCACGAGGCGCAAGGTGACTTTGATGCATGCTGGTCAGGGTTCTTTCTTCTTTGCAGCTGCAGCTTGCTTGCCAGCTGTGCTCAACTCAGGTTGCCTGCCACCCTGCTGCCAAAGCCTTTTGAAACTCATGGCCAGCATACTATGTGGCACACACGACGGAGCTCTCAGCGCAGTCCAATCTTCGCATGGCGCAGCAAGCTTGGCAACCAAGATGGGCGACACCCGGGTGCAAAAGATCATCTCAGAGACATTGGAAGAGTTCCTATGCTGTATCGCTGACATTTTTCCTTCTGTAATTCCAAATCGGAAAAACCTTGGAACCCATTTTCTTTGGCCTATTCCGAGTGAAACCAAAATGTGCAAGGTGGAAAACGTTCTGGGCTCCTGCAGCACCTGTCCCAACAGCTGACGCTGAGCTTCAGGATGATGGCAATGGGCCCACAGAAGCTGCTGATGCCGCTCCTGCTCCGCCCACACGTGAGCAGCTTCTCGAGAAAGCGGCCGAGGAAGAGTTGAAAACCTTTGTGGGTGCCATCATCTACGATGGGGACGATGCAGCTGCACTTCTCAACATGCTCCAGTCGCAGGTTGGTCTCAAAGCTCCTTTGCCTCAAGATGGTCGCATGGTCCTCCACTGGGATGCAGCGAAGGAGCTGGAGGCTTCAGAGGCCTATACGAAGTCCCACAATGTCTTCTCTAGAAGACCCGGCATCCGCAAGCAGCGGGCATCCTTCATCCGCAAGATTGCAGATGGAATCTTTACCGATGTGCCCTTGCATGTGCTGTTGTGCTTTGATGGTGGCTCGCATGCATGTGCCAATGAGATCACTCGCCACAAAGGCTTTGAGTGGAGCAAGTTGGAAATGATGCCCATTGCCGAGTCATTGACCCAGCGTGAAACTTATTGCTGGGCGGCTGGTGGCATGAAGCGCAGAAAGACGTCGGTAGCGGGCGTGTCAGCGCTGTCTAGGCTGGCAGGCCGCGAGACAGCATTGATGGGCGTCAAGAAGGACACACCAGCTCCAAAGGCCATGCCCTTTAAATGGATCGATGCCCCTGGGTCATTCGGCCATTTTGGCACACCCTTTGCTTTCCAGAAGCTTGACCATAGCTTTCTTTTGTGCCAGGCTTGATCATAGCTTTCTTTTGTGCCGAGGCTTCGGTGCAGCGCAGCTGGGTGGATGCCAATTCCATTGCCAAATCCACGGGGGCTTTTCGCAGTGACCGTTTCGGAGAAGCGGCAGGCAAAAATACGGGCCCCATGAATTTTATGGCATGGTCTTCTGCAACTTTTTCCCCAGAGTTTTCTTGGGACTTCCTGGGCTTCGTTTTCAGCCTGGGGTTTCCTCTTGCTGCAGGCCATGGACATGACGAACCAGAAGGACAAGGACATGGTCGGAAAGCACGACAACGGTGCCAGTGCCAGCGTAGTGGAGGACCTTCAAGACGGTGCAATGGTGCCGCTTTCATTCTTTGAGCGGGAGGTGGCTGTGGCAAAGGAGTTATTGAACCAGACGTCCTGCGCCAGGCTCATTGATTGCAGCCCTAGTGGGACAGATATGTGCTTCGCAGCCATGGACCTCAAGATTTATACCTGTGTTGTTTGCAAGTCTGCGCAGCATTTCGACATTGTGCAGAAGGCATTGAAGCACAAGTTGATCACGGCAATGAACGATTCCCTGAATTCCCGGTTCTTCTTGAGCAATGCCAGACTTGGATTGGGAGGTGAGGGTGATGGTGCCGGTGGTGGCACCACAAATGGCACCACGACTGGTGGCACCAGGGCTGGCACCACGACTGGCGGCACCAATGTTGACAATGATGGGATGATTGAGGACGAGCCAGCTCCACCCAACAGCCCAAGTGAAGATGACGGATCCAGCTCTGAGTGATGGGTGAAGGCAAGGGCATTGTGAGCAATGCTTCAAGTTTTGAAAGACGGATCCTTTCATGCAGACACAGCGGTATTGCGGCTGCGATCTGAAGGGCATGAAAATGATCCGGATCATCGCTCCGTCACACCGACGTTTTTTGTTTCTGCTGCCTTCTTTATAGAAGCTTTCTGAGGTGACTTTTTGGTAGTGGCTGAGCACTTAGCTTGTGACAGGTCAGTTTTCTCAAATGTGAAAATGAAGGCTTGAGCACTCAAGTGAAGCACTGAAATGTTCAAATCTCATGTCTCTCTCGCCCTGCGGCGCCATCAGTCTGAGCTAGCTGAGTTGGATTGTCAAATCAGAATCCAAATCCATGCGGTTTTGCTATCAGCCTGGCGAGCAGCCAGCAAACGGGTCACTTGTCGCAAGAAACCAAGTGACAGTGAGTCTCGTTGGTCAAAACGCCTCTGTACCCGGTGCTCGTTGCTGCCACAGAGATATGCACGTTGCTGCAAGGATGGCACGCAGACAAAATGAAAGTTGCAGCTCTCGTGCCAGCAATGCTCATTTGGTGTGCAGAGGTGTGCTCATGCCCAGGTCTTGATTCATTTGGTTGAGGGAAGAGGCGCATGGCCGCTTTCACCAACGGTTTCACTTGCTTCATATTCAGGGTGACACTAGCCAGCTGCCAGGTGCAGCTACGTGCAGACCGTGGATGTGGAGGAGTGGCTTCCACTGGTATCATGTGTTCTTGAGCTTGACATGCAGTGCAAA